GTATGCCGAAAAACCTGAATTGGCGGCGCTTGCTTGATCTAATCGCTCAAAGATGTTTTGGTTCTTTGTGTATTGTGCCAAGTTCTTGATAGCATTTTTCAACTTTGAAACTCCACCAGAATGCAAAACTTTGTATTCGATTGTCCTATCGGCCACGAACCAATTTATCCACTCATTCAGCGTACCCGGTCAGGGGATCAAACTAAGAACTATGTGTTTTACAGAGCACCTACAATTACTGCTATACATGCGCTCGTCACATGTACTCAATTAGCCTAAATGCATTGAACTTTCTTTTCCTGAACACAAAGTTATTATTTGATAAAGTTAGATATACCTGATAATTATCTTTTGAACCATGCATGTGGTTTGTTTCGAGCACTTATAGAGCTCAATGCATGTGTCTCGGCCTTGGCGGCTTCGTCAGTTGGGAGTGCCCTCCTAGGAAAAACTCAGTCCCTTTATATAAGGTAGGCGACGACGTACTATTTACACGTGCCGTCAGTGAAAAAATCATCGAATAGGCAGTGTTTTTACATTCGATTGCTCTAAAATTGAGCGTGGTCTTTATCGACTGACTTCCGCTGACCCACGTCGGGCGTGCACATCAGCGTGGGAACGACTCCACCTCCACTTTTCTGATTAGTTGTCGTCTACAGGACTACTTTTCGCTTTAAGATCGCACGCGACTTAGTCTAAAATATAGCAGCGGGTCTTACAAAGAAACGTAGTAGTGTAGTCCGCGACTAATCGGGGCAGAATAGGGTGAGTCGTTCCCGTGCTGGTGGACACTCCCCAGCGTGGGTCCGCGAAAGCCAACCCGTTAAGAAAGCACTGCAAACGAATGGTAAGATATTTCATAAGTGCTAACGAAGAGCAAGCGAGTGTAAAAATATTGTCTAGTAAATGGTACGTCGTCGCCTACTCCACGTAAGAGGGTTGGCTTCTCATCAGGAGAATTGGTTAGGACGAACGGTACTGCCCACCTGATAAGGCTACCAAGGCCGAAACACGTGTATTGGGCTCTATAAGTGCCCATAACAGGCCACATGCATGGCTCAAAAGATAATTCTAGGTATATTGAGATTTGAGAATAGTCTTTGGAAAATGCTCGAAATGAACGGTCTAAGACTAGATAGATGTTAATTTTTGGACAGCCTATTTTTTGGTCTTTCATTCATAAGACGATTAACAGCACAGTGTTAATGTATTACATAGAGCTCATTTTTTGTGTGGTGAATACTTGAGGTGATATTGCAGCTAATTACAAACTGAACAGGTTAGGGCTCGATCGAAGACTTTGATAGATTTCCATACTAACAACATGATATCAATGATTCTCACTCTGCTAGATGTGATTTATATAAATTGTGAATTTATAAATTGACATCAAAACTAATACTAAAACATGGTGATATATTGTTGCTGACTAGAACTTTTTTTTCTGCAATGGCTCACCTGGTCGATGAAGAAGTGTCGGACTAGGTACACGACAAGGGATGTCAGTGCAAGAACGCCAACGAGGAAGTCGAGAAAGTCCCAAAAGCGCCTGAAAACCCTCACTGAATGCCATTACAGTATTGTGATGCAATTGCCTACAATGGAGATACTCCTTTCCATAATTTTATATTCTATACAAGATTGGAAGTTCCTCACTGGATTTGTTTAGTAGTTTCACTGATCGCCACAATATTATGGTGCCACGCGCTTAAAAGCGGAAGACAAGGGTTTGATTCCAGTTGAACTTGCTCTTTTTCCACATAGCACAATAGAGCTGAATACCCGGTTGGAGATGTCACACTGTTTACTTTGGGTGGCCTTCTAAAAGAGTCGTCCTCACCTCATGTGTCGTAGGTTGGTTATCTGGAATTCTTAAGCAGCAATAATGTGGAGTTACTTGGTTAGATAGAGCAGACAGAAGCAGTCATTGGGTCCTCCATGAGATGTAGTGGATGCAAAGGATAAACGGTGTGCCATTATTGTGTCAATATATTTTACAGCTTCTCTTTCACCTAATCATATCCACACATACATAAGTAGATGTGTTTATATGTAAAATAAGTTCGCAAATTGCTAAAAATCTTGCAGAACAGCTCAGAAAGAAAATCTGAATTAAAGTTAATGAAGAGAAGATGTCCAAGATAGTGTGCTACTAATTAGGCACACTGTACATTAAGAGAGCCTGACACATTACTTAATGCTTGAGTATTGCAATTACTAGTAGAAGTATTGGGAAAATACGACTCTTGCTCCCTCGTGCCCAAAATGTGTTTGAAACTGCTCTGTCACTAATATGATGACGATTTTACAGATAGCAGCTCGGATAGTTTGATGAATAACAAATGAATGGATTACGATGAATCTTTTGTAGTTAAACGTTAGTACATCACCTTCGAAGAATGTATAACGTTAAGGCACAGTCATAATAGACGGAACCTTTACGGGTGCTCAAGTGTCGCCCATCGGCACCGAATCTCTGGCTTTTGTGCCATCAACAGTCACCTCTTGGGATTGATCTGGGAAGCGCACATCGTCATCGGACTCATTAAAGTTGTAGCAGTCATCGATACCACGTTGTTTCAATCATATTTTATTTGTTGATTAAGTAGGACGAGGTTGTTAGTAGGAATTTTTATTCGGTCAACGTTTTGACGCATTTCGTCTTCTTCACAGCCGAAACTTTGAGTCAGTCGTCCCCCGTCGTTTGTTCTTGTTGTTGTCTTTGCCTTCGTTTCGAACGAGTCGAGCTCTCTGCTGAGCAACGCTCGAATGGAGAACCTTACGCTGCGAACTCCTTCTCTACAGGTTGAGGTGAATACATCGGCTAATCACCCGTTTATAATGATTTATTACCTTTAGGCAATCTACTCTGCAGAATAAGTTATTGTTAACGTTAAAAAAGAGCGCTATACTATAGCTTGTGTACTAACCTCTCTTTAATCTCTACATTTCCAACCAATTATATTTTCTTTAGCAGAATAAGTAAGTTTTTTATCCACTATGTACTTATAGGAGCGCATGTAGCGCAATAGTTAGAGGTGCCCTGCGTCGCATACGAGGTCACTGGTTCGATCTCGCGCTCATGACTCACCAAGCCATCTATCCCTCCGGGGTCGGTAAATTGGTACCAGGCAGGTTTCAGACTTGTCTGGGAGGATAAGCAGCACTGAGTCGGTTCAGCGTGAGGCCACCGCGAGTCATTGTAAAGGCCAGATGTGCATTCACTCACCTCAAACGAAGTTAAAAATTGAAGTCAAATGCATGGCGCATCCCTCAGGGATTGATCAACGCCGAAAGCTTTATTCTTTTTATGTACTTATAGCTTAATAAGAACTCGGCGAAAGCATTTCAAACAGGATGGAAACTAGAAAGGAAGTTCGTTTCAATTTATCTAAACGCTGAATGTTAGTGAATGTACATTGAGTATAATCTGTAAGAATGTTCAAAGCCTTACCGAGGTTATTCAGTCAGAGCGATATACGTGTTTCGGAGGTATCGCCCTCTTCATCAGTGGCCCACGTCCCACAGAGTCCTGCTTTGTATTAGGGAGGGGAGACGTATGTGATGGTAACACAACGTACAGACAGGGCGATACTCCGAAACACCTGTATGACTCTGGCATAATGACCTCAGCAAGGGTTTGGACATTTTTACAGATTACATCTAATGTTTATAGCGAGGTTAAAAAACAGTCGATGGGATGGATCAATACACATTGACTGGTAGAGTATGGATTGCCCGCTGAAAAACAAAATAATATCAAGGGATAATCAGTATCATCAACAGCCATCCTGTCTAAAAAAGCACTACCGAGTGGGCGATTGTGGAGCACTGGTTAGGATTCACTGGCTTTGAAGAAGACGAAACGTGTCGAAACATCACTCTAATAAATTTCTCATCAAAAACCTCGTGCTACATGTTTAATGAACATATAAAACATTATTGATTGGTGTGCCGATATCAAAAGAAAGTCGTTTGCAAAGTGCAATGTTTCAACACTTGCTACCTCTTCTTTTTCCACGCCGGTTACTGATGATGACTATGTGAAATATGAACCGTAAAAATACTGAAGCATGGGCAATTCGAAGCCTCAATTGAGCTTCGAACCCACGAGTGTCCTTTTCACGGGCTAACGTGTCACCCATGGCGCTAAGAGAGCCTTACTTTGCTTTTTTCTTAGCCATGCCTTTCATCACAGCCCTTCTGAACTTCCGAGTCTTCTTCGTATTTCAGAATTTTCGTGAGTGACTTACATATAATGTAATTTTTAATTTTAATGGAGTTTTGAAGAGTTCTGCTTTTGTTCGTTCAATTTTTTCCATAATCTATCAAGCCAACAAACGTCTTGTTGCTGTTTTTTTTCTCAGATTACAATCAATTCGGCAAAAAGTAACTTACGCAAAAAAGAGGTGGTAGAAAATTCGTATGTCGGTGCGCCGTGGATAAGTATGATATGCTGTTATTATGTTTGAAATGTAGCAAATGGTGTTCTTCAGAAAACTGAGAATAGCATAGACGAAAAATAGGAGCTGGAAAGAAGCAACAAGTTTTTACGGGTTCCATGTTAATCGAAAAGGTTAATCGTTAAAACGCTCATTGATTGGTAGCGCTTGAGGTTGAAAGATAGTAGCCAATGCGCTCGTAGTTGTTCACCCCTTAGGAAGCGGCATCCTCTCTAATCTATCGAGCGTCGCAGAGGTAACTGAATAAATGTAGCTTGTACTCTCGCCGTGGTCTAGCAAGCTAGTATTATATCTTCCCAGATTACTCTGGTACCATTTTCCAACTTCTTATGGATAGAGTTTGGTGAGCTCGTTCAGTGAGCTCAAACTAGCGGCTGATTCACGGAAGACTGTTCAATACAGGCTACCTTTTTACTTTTCATCAAGCTCCCCTCGTTTGAGGTTTTTGATAAACGAGGATCTGTGATTTACTATTGCTTTATTGATTAAAATAAATTTTGTAAATACCCAATGATAAAGAGTGATGTACAAAACGTTTGCATCAGGTGGGATTCAAACCCATATTTTACTCCATCCGAGGCGCGTGCTGTTCCGCTACACTACCGACACTCATGAGTAATGCAATGGCTCAGCACGTGTTCCCGGAGGAGGGTGAAATGCGCGTTCGAGTCCTAGCTGATGCAAATGTTTTTGTACATCACTCTATATCACTGCGCATATTATAACATTTTTCCACCGCTAAAAGCGGTGAAATAAGATGAATTTTGATTGGATATGTAAGTAATCATAGGAGTCCCTCAATGAGAACCTCCGCCCGATTAGATGCGAAGAAACGTGGCGCGTTCCCAGGTGATTTATAGAGAAATCAAGCGCGAACAAGAAGCATTTGTGTGCTTTCCAGAAATATAAATGAATTCAGCGAAAGCACTCCTTGTTTTTGCAGTGCCAATTTGACAAACCTTTATATGTGTGAGTCAGAAAAGAGCCTGCAAACAAGCGGTTGGAAGTACATGGGAGGGTTAAAAGGCGCCTCCAACAAACTCTCCGTGTAAATAAGGAACAGACTGGTAAAGTACTTGTGATTCCCTATCTTCCACTTTCAAAGCTCAGCAAGCTACATATTGAGTAAAGAATTCTGACAGTAATAATGATGTGTCTCATTTCCCTATCCTCGAAGGAGCCGCCGGTACGGCAGCGTCGGGTAGAACGAGTACGGATAGGCTGCTAGAGTCTCAAGGCCAAACTAGGCTACCAAAAGTGCAACGGAGTAAAATGACGATCTGTACCTGTCGCACAAACATTTGCATACGAAACCTCTATAGAAGGTCATAGTGCAATTAAGAAGGATGAAGCACGACGTCGTCGGCTGAGACGAGAAGACGCCGCAAGTTCCACGATGTCCATGACACCGGAGAAAAGTTTTTTTGGAACATGCCTTAGCAGAAGTGTCGGTAGCATTATCATTCTCTTCAGCCTTCACCGTGAACATCGATTCATTTGAACAACCAACATTCAGGACAGCATTTATGACCAAAGCTGCACATTCTGGAGAGCATTAACAAAGCTCACCAAGGCTTGAACAACAATATGACCAGGATGATTGCACTCTGACGCACCGACGGAATAGTCACAGCTTTTTGAATGTCAATGGAGAAAACATCATTCATTATTACTGCGATCTCTTCAACAGTCACGTTCTCTTATCGTTATATGAGACAAAGGAAAAAGAATTTGTCGTTCCACTGGTCCTCTTTTCCGACGCGCTAATTTGTCAGTGAACAATGGAACAACACATGGTCCAGACAGGATAAGGCTGTGTCACCTGAAGAACTTCCCACCAGCTCATTTCAGCGCACTGGCTCAGCTCTTCACTCGTTACCTGCTAGACTGCAAGATTCCCGTCAACGAAAATCAGCAAAACCGTGTTGATATTATAAAAGGTTAACCTCATAACATTGGCAACTTCGGCCCAATCTGCTTGCTGACCGTCGTCTATAAAGTTTCCACTCGAGTCATTCTAAACGGGATTGACAGAACACGGGACGAAGGACAGCTATGCGATCGAGCAGGGTTTCCAAAATCGTCTAGTATCATTCCATATCCACACGATAACAAGATTAACTGAAGTTTCACAATAGTACATGACACCACTCTATCTCCTATCTCATTTCCATTACTTTGGAGAATGGCTTGATTTAGTTGGTAAAAAAGTAGTCACAAAAGCTCTAGGCAGCCATGGCGTCCCTACTGAACACACAAAGACTCTTCGTTAGCTATAAAAAGATTTAACGCAAAATCCCCATGTGGCGACAATGTTATTGAAGTGAAAGGAGGAGTTGAACAAAGGGATGCAATCTTGCCGAATTCACTGCCACTCTCCAAAACGTCATACGAAATCAGAATGGGCAACATTGGAGTGGAAGTCTGCAATAGAAAAATTCACCATCATTTCTTGATGATGTTGTCGTCCTTATACCGAGCATCAGTCAGGCGGAACGAGCGCTGGCAGATTTCGGCGCTTGTGGGAAGATTGGTCTCGGCTAAACTCAACGAAAACGATGCCTATGAGCAACGGATTGGTTTCGAAAGCCCCATTAAGGCTCAATGAAATGAAGGTTTCCTGCTACGTTAATCTAGGTTGAGAAGTAAATACGATGAACGATCTAGCTCTAGGCTTTAGAGCTGAGCAAGAAGAAGTGAACGGCTTGTGGCGCGCTCATGTTTAACAAGGATATATCGAAGGGAACAAAAAACATCTGACTTTGTGCCCACCTATTCAACTTAGCGATGATCCTACCTTAACGTATGCTTCAGAACCCTGGTCTTTGCGTAAACAAGATGAAAGATCACATGACTTTATTGGACGTGCAATCTGAAGATCGATGCTAGTAATATCCCTTACACGTGACTAAGAAGAAAGATCTGAAGTTCGACCTTTCGTCAGCAGTCGCAGTCAACGATACCGTTCTACACGCCGAGCTGTCGAGATAAGATTGGCTAGACACGTAATGTCCTTGAAAGACAACCTATGAAGGAGCCGTAATTGACCAAATTCCTCGGGATGTTAACCACGCTACATGTTTGGAATTATGTGAATTGGTATACTGTAATTCTTGTAAGTTGTCGGTGCCTGCGAAAGAATGTGCAGCTGGTCAACGTCTTTTGTGTTTACGTTCCCATCGCGAGATGAACTTGTCACTTTTGATGCTACAAACCTTTTTTACCTGTGGTGTGAGCAAGAAATTTTTTGTGTTGAATTAATTTTGGAGCAATATCTTTCCTCGTAGGCTTACTATAGCGCTTCATCTGGCAAATTCTTTGTCTGTGGTCCATATATAAGCTTTCGTCAAAACAGAAAGGACAGTTGTCATGTTATCACCGGTTGTTATGTAGTTGTTGTCATGTTGTCACTAGTTGTCTTAGGTTGTCATCAGTTGGCTGTTAGTGGTTGGGTCGCTAGGGTTACCGTAATCCTACCGAACTCAATTTACTTATCCAATTGGTCCACTGATGGTTTATCCACAGTAAACTTGTTAATGCTGCCTTGTTCTCTACCTACAGAATTAGGTGAGTGTTGATTGCAGTCACCTTAAGAGAATTTAGAGTCAATTCCAATCACCACACGAAGACAGCGATCCGTTGGTCCGACTTCTTCACTGATAGCCTACACGAAAGATATGATGCTCAACGATTTTCCATAGATAGAAGGACACACCAGGTTACACTAGGAAACTATGAAAGTTTTGCTGATACTCGCTCGCGTCATTCGACGATTAGCGGGGAGATAAAATGAACATATTTTTGCATAACATAAAAAGTAATTTGTAGGTGGAGCTTCATATGTGAGTTCCAGTCTGCAATTGTCTGCACTCACATTATCGCAGGGTAACATCGAATAGCAAAGTGCAGCCAAAATTTGATCCCTTAGCATGGCGTCACGTTTTCAATGGCTTTGACAGATTTCACTAGCTGACGCTGTTAAAAGGAAATTATTGCCAAAAACTACCAACGCTCTGGAAGAAGCACACTTAAAATATTGCAAACTTCCTTGTCCTGATTTCTGTAGTAACTGTAGGAACATTGTGGTTTAGATCGGAACACAGTGAAAGCAAACGTGTCCACGAAATAAGGCGGCAGTGAAATAAAATTGTGTACACTTCACAGGAACTTTGAAAGTACTTGAGTACATAGATTAATATGACTGGTATCAGATTCTTTTCAACTCGGCGAGGCCATTCTTGTTGTTGTACATTGCTAGTCATGCCCAATCGCGCGAATGAGCGGTGTTAGTGCAAACTACTTTTCAAGCAATTATTTGACAAGAGAGGAAAACTTGCTTCAAAAACGAATATTATGAAGTTGCGATTATGCTTGACGAGACGAACTGATTCCACTGTCGACGACGGTAAGAGATATCCTAAACAAGAGCAAAAAATTACGCATCCTTTCAAACTGTAAAACAAGTGATATCGATTACCTTCTGACGGAATGTTAATGGTTAGTTCCACGACTGCAAAGTAGTTCACTTGCGCGTTATATAGCGACAACTCGACGAAAACAGCACGAGTATTCTGCAATTCTATGCAATCAATCGCAGACTTTTCCTGTATTACAGGTGGGAGATGTTCTATGGAGTCTAACTATCAAGCGCAACACACATTTATCTATTCAGCGGTATACTCTAAAGCCTAGCAGGCCGACATCTTAATCAGGATGTCCAGCAAGGAGCAGCCAATGCGAGGAATTACTGCCGTACTAGTAGCAAAGTTGTTGCAAGGGACAAACTACCTGCGGTGACGCTTACGGGAAGCGGCAGCACGGCTATGCCCAGAATTTGAGCAAAGAAAATCTATTCTGATAAGCAAATTACCAGAAAGACAAAAAAGGTCTTGCACGGTTAAACGTAATGATCTTCTCAAGTAGCCAGGCACGAGAAAGTAGCTGAGCTGAATTGTCCTTGACTTAACGAATCTGTTCAGAAATATCTACAAATGGCGCTTCTTATTACTCAAATCCTATTGATCGATGCGTACGAAGTAGCTTCTGCGATACAGCAAGCAATTAAGGTGACACTTCCCCAGGTACAGTAATCAATGCTAGATGAAATGAAAGCGTTAACCCTCAAGTTCTGTTCATCGCTCTGACTACCTTGTCTATCCATGACTCCGACTGCAATCGTTTCATTGTCTCCAACAATTCTGACGGTTGTCCTTTCAGAGGGATTATGTATCCTCCTCGTGGATACTGGCTAATCCTCAGTCGGATGTCGGAGCCTGAAAGAACATTTATTTCAAGCATCCGTAACGACACATAAGTTGTGTTTCCTTCAACATCAATTTAAGATGCTATTTGAAAGGCATTTTGCTCTTCTGTGATTAGCTAATTGATTAGCTAATTGGTTTGGTAAATGGCAGCAGGTGCTGACTATTTGAGTATATGATAATTAAATAATCATGTTGAACTTCGCGTTTGTTGTATTTTGTATTTTTGCGCTGTATAATGTTACATTCCGTTCTCAACAGCCAATATTGTCTTCCTATCTAATTTCATATACGACGTTAGTATATGTGGTAATTTTTGAGGTTAGAAAGTTTTCACTGATAAAAGTG